TTTAATGGTACCATATTCAGTAAAATTGTGAAAAGAGATATTTTATCTTTGGTCTCTGCATATTCCCTCTCACTGCTGTTTTCCTCTTCTGGGGAACTATGAACTTCCTTTTTTTTCTTATTAAAATTTGTATTTTTCAGCCAGGCATGGTGGCTCATGCCTGTAATGTCAGCACTTTGGGAGGCCGAGGTGGGCAGATCATGAGGTCAGGAGTTCAAGACTAGCCTGTCCAACATGGTGAAACCCCATCTCTACTAAAAAAATATAAATTAGCTGGGCATGGTGGCAGGCACCTGTAATCTCAGCTACTTGGGAGGCTGAGGTGAGAATTGTTTGAAACCAGGAGGCAGAGTTTGCAGTGAACCAAGATTGTGCCATTGCACTCCAGCCTGGGCAGAGACTCTGTCTCAAAAAAAAAAAAAAAAAGTATTTTTTTAAGCACCATTAAATACTTGCAGGAAGAAGTGAGGAGATTGAGAGGGGTATCGCTTCTGTGACTTTAAAACCGCTGATGGAGATAACCCCCAGCATCACTCATAGTGTAAACTCGCTCCCGAACTTCTTACACATAAAAAATATAAAGGTGCTTTTGAGAGTTTCCTCTTCATGCACTCATTGATCAGACATAGTGTAAAGGTGCTTTTCTTGTGAGGGTAATTGGTATAGTATATTGGCACCTCTTTAAAAATATATATTTTGGAGCAACATTGACACAAAACTGACTCATCTGGCAGGAAAGTTTGCCAATATGAGTTGAGAGTGAATCAGAGACACATTTTATAACTTACCAGCCAGAGGAATCACTGATAATAACCTTCGTTGCCATAGCAAGTTCCTTTCAGGCATAGGATTTGATACTCTCTCCAACTCCATAACATACTAGCTCTATTCTACAGCAGAGACAATCAAGACTCAGAAGTTTCAGCAGCTTACCCAAGGTCCCAGGACTGCAGCTTGCCCCAAGCCTTATCTTTCCCAAAGCCTTGTCCACCTCATCAAGCTCTCTCCAGAAGAGGAAGAAGCCAGAGAGGTGAAAGACGCCAGTAGCCCCAGTGAGAGGTCAGCTAGGGGGCCTGCCTTTCACCCTGGTGGCCCTTCACCCTGGTGACCACACAGTCAGAAGAGTCATACTTAGAGTGGCTTCGGGTCTCTCACAGTCATCATTTGAAGTGCAGGATGGTGTGACCAGGCTCTGAGGGAAAGGTGAAGCCTGGCAGCCTAATGAGCCAGGCTTGAGGATGCACTGGCTGGGACTGGCCCAGAAAGAGACCTGGCCAGGTATAATGGCCACCTGGGCAGGTATAATGGCCAGAGACTTGCCAGGAGTATGCTTGTGCAGGCAAGAGAGAGTAGGAGTGTGTGTATGTGAGAGAAAGAGAATGTTTGCACGTGGATGTGTAAATGTGTGTCACATGAGCTGGTGTTTTTGCACATGGGTATATCTGGGTGGGAGTGTGTAAGACAGCGCCCGTGTATGTGTGTGGGTATGTGTCTGAGAGCACCTACATGTGTGCACGTGAAGAGTCCACCTGAAAAGCTTCAGAGTTAAGGTGCTTCTGATGCTCTGGGTCACTCTGAAGTGTATCTGCTCCCGGTTGTCTAGAATGCTGCAATCGCTTATAATGTTTGTCAGGGGGAGCCTGAAGGAACACAGTCCCCAAGTCACCCTGCTTCACTAATCCCCCAGGAATGAAATCCCCACAGCCCAGCAGCTATCATTTAGAGCCTTTCTCAATTAGCAATCACGATGCCTAAAGCTTTGAACAGTTGTTGCATGTTTATCTTTCTCCTCAAGTTCACTCTGTCTGCTCTCAGAACCAGCCAAGTTCAAACAACTTTCTGTCTGGCAACCACAAAGACAGCTCCCCCAGCCCCCACCCCAAGGCAGTTATAACCAGACAGAGGTTGGAGCCGATTTCCATGATCTCTGTGTGTGTTCTGTTGCTTTGTAAGAAAGTGAGCTTTATGATGTGCCGATGTTCATCAACGAATTGCAGTGGCTTACAATATTAAAAACACATATCCAACAGAAATGCTTCAAAAACTCAGATTGAAACTCAATTCTAAAGAAGAGAAAGAGGTTTCATTGTGTGTTCTGTTGCTTAATCTTCATTTATGGTAAGATAAAGCCATGAGAGGTCCAACACTGGGTAATGGTTAAGAATATGCCTTGACCGGGCCGCACACAGTGGCTCACGCCTGTAATCCCAGTGCTTTGGGAGGCTAAGGTGGGAGGATCACCTGAGGTCAGAAATTCAAGACCAGCCTGACCAACATGGAGAAATCCCATCTCTACTAAAAATACAAAATTAACTGGGCATGGTGGCGTATGCCGGCAATCTCAGCTACTTGGGAGGCTGAGGCAGGAGAATTACTTGAACCTGGGGTGGCAAGGTGGGGCTGAGGTTGCGGTGAGCCAAGCTCCTGCCATTGCACTCCAGCCTAGGCAACAAGAGCGAAACTCTGTCTCAAAAAAAAGACTATGCCTTGACCAAGCAGGTTGGCTCATTCCTGTAATCCCAGCACTTTGGGAGGCCAAGGTGGGTGGATCACTGAGGTCAGAAGTTCAAGACCAGCTGCCCAATTTGGCAAAACCCTGTTATCTCCAAAAGAGAGAGAGAGAGAGAAACCCTGTTATCTCCAAAAGAGACAGAGAGAGAGAGAATATGCCTTTAGGAGTTACACACTCTGGCTTTTAATTATTGTACTGTTTGTTTTCTCCAGGCCTCAGTTTACTCATCAATAAAAACAAGGACAATGATAGATCTACCCTGTATGATTGAAGAATGGAATAAGATAATGCATATAAAGTGCTCAACACAGTGCCTGGTGTAATGTGAGCAAGCAATTTAGCTATGTTGTTATTTTCACTGCCGTGTTAGGATTTGAATGGAATCCACGTTACATCTCTTTTTGGTGGTATGCACAGATCTAGGTGGGATTTCCTCCTCTCTTCCGGACCACTGGGAAGAAAGGTGAAATGAATATAGTACTAGAGTCCCATCATCTAGTAACCAAGAGCAGATGTGTGGCCCAATCTTGTGTATGGCAGCAGGGTTGTTTAGGCTGCATGAGAGACTGTGTGACTTGGGATTTCCTTTAATTTTCTGTTTTTTAGTTTTGGTTTTGTTTGCAAGCTCTGCTGGGCATTGGCATGGGCTGGATTGGCTTGTGGGCTCTGTGATTGCGAGGAATGAGGCTGAGCTGAGCCAAGGTGATGGCTTGTGCTCAACTGCATGTCAGGCTGTGGCTACCTGGGGCATAGTCCTGGAAGACCTGTGGGCCTCCTTCTAAGGCCTGCTTGAGTTCTGTTGATCTTTGAGGAACAACAGATCTTAAAAGCAACCAACCTCAGAGAACACTGGTAGCCTGTGTGACAGATCCAACCTATAGCATAAACACATCCATGTGAATTTTTTACTCAACCCAAAATATCTAGACACACAGTCATCATGTGCATACATTCCTGATGTCTCCGTTGGGTGGGTGAGAGGTGATCTGGGATCTCTTTAAATGTAGTTAAGTGCTCAGGGGCGTCCCACTGAGCCTTCCTACCCATTCAAGAACCCTGCTGTCTTCTAGCTTCCCCTTGGCATTGCCTCAGTTTCCCAGATTTCTGAAGGAAGCACCCTTTGTACAGGCCTGTGTGGGGAGTTACCCCAGGAGCTGTCAATCTGATCCCACCCAGTAGTGTTATTCATGTAAGTGTCTGTCTTGCATTCTTGCCTTGCACCTAGCAAGATGGATTCAAGAGTTGGAGCTGCCCATTATTTATCTGTGCATCCCCATCCCCACCTCCCACTCCAGGTCTCCTTGGTGCCTGGCACTGTGTAGGTGCTCAATACATATTTGTTGAATCAGGGTATGAGTATGAAAGCACGTGAGCAAAGGAACGGCACATTTCACAGAAGGAGAACATATTAAGGCAGAAGTAAACCCTGCCAGTCTTTAGATTAAGCCTCCATACATTACAGTCATGAACACAGAGGCCAGGACTCCCCCAAGAGGTGGGGTGTCTTGGTGGCACGACCAGAGTCCAGGTGTCCAACTCTTGCTGTGACCCTGGGCTGCTTCCCTCTCTCTTGGTCTTCATCTGTCATTCTCAGAGGGAGACTCCAGAAAATGCCTGAGAAACAGAGGATTCTACCTGGGTCTCTGTCAGCCCCACCTCGCATTGAAGTCAGTAGTTTATTAACCAGGATATAACTTGGCCTGGCCTCATTACAAAACCAAATCAATAAATATTGATTGAGTGTCTACTATGTGGACAGTCAGGTGAGAATGAGGGAAGGCAGGAAACAAGAGAGGAGAGAAGCCTTGCGCATATCTGTCATATGAATGGTTGCTCTGACACTGCAAGTCATGCCCCTCACACAGTCCAGAGGACACAGCAGCCATGCCTCTGGGCTTTCAGCACCAATGATAAGGGGAGGAGGTGTCTCTCCTGGCTCCAGAGAAAGCCCCTTTCTCCCTCAGGTGAGAGGGAGAGGAAAGAAAAATGTTATGTAAATAATGAGTCCACAACTACACCCTGTTCATGCACGAAAATTCCAGGAATGATTAAACCAGACTGTGGCTCCAGGATAAACAGAAATTTAGCGTCGCAATTGCCCCATGCTCTTGCACACACACACACACACTGCCTTTCTCTCTTCATTGACACACACGGTATGTTGGCGCATGTCTATCAGCTTGTAACCTGCCCACAAGGAAGGCAGTTCTTCTGAAGAGCCCTCAAAGATGCCCACTGTCCCTGCTTACCCACTCCTTCATTTTTGTCCTGGTCACCTCAGTTAGTTGCTCCAGGCTTCTACTTGTCCATTTTTAAAAAGGGAATACTACTGGCTGAGTGCAGTGGCTCACACCTGTAATCCCAGCACTTTGGGAAGCCAAGACAGGAGGATCACTTGAGATCAGGAGTTGAGACCAGCCTGACCAGCAGGCTCTACTAAAAAAATACAAAAAAAAAAAAGAAAAAAAAGCCAAGCATGGTGGCTCACCTCTGAAATCCTAGCTACTCAGGAGGCTGAGGTGGGAGAATCAGTTGAACCAGGGAGGCAGAGGTTGCAGTGAGCTGAGATCATGTCACTGCACTCCAGCCTGGATGACGGAGTGAGACTCTGTCTCAAAAAATAAATAACAAAATAAATGAAATAAAATGAGAATTCTTCTGAGACGCATTCCTCCTAGGGAAAAAAGAAAGGACAATAAATATCACTATCTGCTTTTCACGATACTGTGATTACAGTTGTGCTTCATAGATATAAATATTCCTTAGAAGTTGTACTGTATGCTTCACATAGTCATGGTATTTTTCAGCGGTCAAGTACATCCTTCAGTATACTGCTTTCAATGGTGGATAGACCACCTGCACTGATCAACAAGGAAATAAAAGACCTGAATGGCCTGTAAAACAACTAGCTCTAGCAGACATCTATGGAGCACTCCACCCAGCAACAGAATGCACATTCTTCTCAAGTGCAAATGGAACATTCTCCAGGATAAACCATGGGCTAGGTGACAAAACAAACCTCAATACATTTTAAAAGATAGAAATACTACCAAGTGTGGCCGGGCACGGTGGCTCACGCCTGTAATCCCAGCACTTTGGGAGGCCGAGGTGGGCAGATCACCTGAGGTCAGGAGTTGGAGACCAAACTGACCAACATGGAGAAACCCTGTCTCTAGTAAAAAATATAAAACTAGCTGGGTGTGGGGCGCATGCCTGTAATCCCAGCTACTCAGAAGGCTGAGGCAGGAAAATTGCTTGAGCCTGGGAGGTGGAGGTTGCGGTGAGTGGAGATCGTGCCATTGCACTCCAGCCTGGGTAACAAGAGCAAAATTCTGTCTCAAAAAAAAAAAAGAAAGAAAAGAAAGAAATACTACCAAGTATGTTCTCTAAACACAGTGGAATAAAATCAATAGCATAAAAAAAAGTTGGAAAACTCACAAATATGTGGTAATTTAACAACACACTCCTAAATAACCAACGGGTTAAAAAGAAATCAAAAGGGAATTCAGAAATAGTCTAACATAAATGCAAATGAAGATGTAACATATGAGAACTTATGGGAAATATCTAGGGCAGGGACTACAAGGAAATTTATAGCTCTGAATGTTGACATTAAGAAAGGACAGAAATTTCAGATCAGTAACCTAACATTTCACCTTAAGAAACAGAAAAACAACAAACTAAATCTAGTTCTTTCTAAAGCAAAAAGAAAGAAGAAAATGACAGAGATTACAGCAGAAATTAATAAAATAGAGACTAGAAAAACAACAAAGAGAAAAAAATCCATGAAACCGAAAGCTGGTTCTTTGAAAAGATCAATACACTGACCAAAAGTTGGCCAAGTGCTGTAGCCCACACCTATAGTCCCAGGACTTTGTGAGGCTGTGGAGGGAGGATTGTTTGCACCCAGGAGTTCAAGACCAGCCTAGGCAACATAGGGACCCTGTCTCTATGAAAAAACACAGAATTATCTGGGTATGACGGCACACACCAGCAGTCCCAGCTATTTGGGAGGTTGGGTGGGAGGATCCTTTGAGTCTAGGATGTCCAGGCTGCAGTGAGCCAAGATCACATCATCACAGTCTAGCCTGGGTGACAGTGAGACTCCACTTCAAACAATAAAAATAAAATAAATTGGCCAAAAGTCACTCCTAGACAGAATTCACTGTGGATAGGGCCTTTAGACAACTTACTCATGCTTGACCTTGGACAAAGAGGTTGAGGCTTTGAGAGCTGGTGGTGTGGCCAAGGTAGAGGTAAGACTGGAAACCAAGTGTTCTGACCTCCACCTGAGGCTTCTGACACTCTCCCTCCTCATTTAGCACCTAATAACAAATCAAACGCTCGTATAGCCACTCATATTTGCAATGCAATAGGAAAACCGTTGGAGAGAATTTTACCATTAGGTAAGACAATATCTATTCAAATAAGTCAAATCATTTTCTCCTGTTTTGTCTCCCACATAAATAAAAAAGTATTTATTTATTTATTTATTTATGTATTTTGAGTGAAGTGTCTCTCTGTCACTAGACTGGAGTACAATGGCGCGATCTTGGCTCACTGCAACCTCTGACTCCCTGGTTCAAGTGATTCTCCTGCCTCAGCCTCCCGAGTAGCTGGGATTATAGGCACATGCCACCTCCATCCACTAATTTTTGTATTTTTTTTAGTAGAGATGGGTTTTTACCATATTGTTCAGGATGGTCTCGATCTCCTAACCTCATGATCCACCCGCCTCGGCCTCCCAAAGTGTTAGGATTACAGGCGTGAGCCACCACGCCCGGCCGAAAAGTATTTATTTTGAGCCTGTAATCCCAGCACTTTGGGAGGCCAAGGCGGGTGGATCACGAGGTAGGTCAAGAGATGGAGGCCATCCTGGTCAACATGGCAAAACCCCGTCTCTACCAGAAATACAAAAAATTAGCTGGGTATGGTGGCACATGCCTGTAATCCCAGCTACTCAGGAGGCTGAGGCAGGAGAAATGCCTGAACCCAGAAGGCGGAGGTTGCGGTGAGCCGAGATTGCACCATTGCACTCCAGCCTCGGTAACAAGAGCAAAACTCTGTCTCAAAAAAATAAAAAAAAGTATTTATTTTGATTTACTTGAAGTAGATTACTCTTCCAAGCAAGATTTAAGTAGATTACTCTTCCAAATGACCTATTTTCTGTGGTTATTTAAAAACAACCCAGGACCGTAATAGATGTGGCAAAAGAGAATTTAAATGATGTGCCTATAAACAACTATTCTCCTGCAAGTTCAGGTTGTTCAAGACCAGACTGGGCAACATAAAAGTATTTTATATAAACTCAATTAATCTTCTCAAAAATTCTATTCTATGACGTAGATCCTGTTACTGATTCCACTTTACAGATGAAGAAACTGAGGTGGAGAAGTTAGGTAATATGTCCAAGGTCATAAGCAGCTGAGCTGAGCATCCTTAAGTCTATGTTCTTTTTTTTTTTTTTTTTGAGACAGAGTCTCGCTGTGTTGCCCAGGCTGGAGTGCAATGGCATCATCTCAGCTCACTGAAACCTCCTCCTCCTGAGTCCAAATGATTCTCCTGCATCAGCCTCCAGAGTAGCTGGGACTACAGGTGCGAGCCACCATGACCAGCTAATTTTTATATTTTTGATAAAGACGGGGTTTCACCACGTTGATCAGGATGGTTTCGATTTCTTGACCTCGTGATCCACCCGCCTCAGCCTTCCAAAGTAGTCTGTGTTCTTTTTTTTTAACCAAAACATGGATCTCCAGTTCAAGTAGTCTGTGTTCTTAACCATGCCCCATAAACAGCCCCATGAGGAACCCAGATTTAAGATTTGGCTCTATCAAGTATTGTTTATGTTGATGATGATGATTGTAGCCTCTTTCTTTCAAATTCCTACTTATTTCCTCCCGCTGAAATCCTCTTCAGGAACTGGAGCAATTAGGAATCACAGTATGATAAAAAGTTAGAGCTCGGGGAACCTTGAAAACCATATAAATGAGGACTTCATTTTACAGATGAGGAGACTGGGTCTAGTGTATTCACATAGTTGCTGGGTGGTTGTTAATGACAGAAGAACCATTTACATAAGGGACAATCAATCCAACAGCTCTAGTTTTGTAGTTGGAGACCTCTGAACAACAAATCTGTTTTATAGATGTTTCTAAAATAAGTTCTGGATCTTTCTGTAAGAGAGCACCTAGCCAAAGTATTCTGAACCCTGGCTGCCTATTAGAATCACCTGAAGAGCTTTTAAAAGACACTTACTTAGGGCCAAGCATGGTGGCTCACAACACTTTGGGAGGCCAAGGTGGGTGGATCACTTGAGGTCAGGGGTTCTAAACCAGCCTGGTCGACATGGTGAAACCCCATCTCTACTAAAAATACAACAACAACAACAACAACAAAATTAGCCAGGCACAGTGGCACATGCCTGTAATCCCAGCTACTTGTGAGGCTGAGGCAGAAGAATCACTTGAACTTCAGAAACAGAGGTTACAGTGAGCTGAGATCACACCACTGCACTCCAGCCTGGGCGACAGAGCTAGACTCCATCTCAAAAAAAAAAACAAAAAACAAAAAACACAAGGCTTAGGCCGATAGACTCAGAATCTCTCTGGGGCAGAATCTGAACAACTAACTACATATTTTTTGACCACCCTAGGTGAATCCCATACATAGAGAAGGCAGAAACCCACTTGCTTAGCCAATATGTGATATACTCAGGCTGGGCACGGTGGCTCAAGCCTGCAATCCCAGCACTTTGGGAGGCCAAGGTGGGCAGATCACAAGGTCAGAAGTTCGAGACAACCCCATCTCTACTAAAAATACAAAAAAAAATTAGTCAGGTGTGTTGGGGCACACCTGTAATCCTGCCTAGGGGAATCACTTGAACCCGGAAGGCGGAGGTTACAGTAAGCGGAGATCATGCTACTGCTCTCCAACCTGGGTGACAGAGCAAGACTCTGTCTCAAAAAAAAAAAAAAAAAAAAAAGAAAGAAAGAAAGAAGAAGAGTGGTATACTCTTGCTGCTTGGCCAAACTAACACTTTATTTAGTCAACAACTCCACTGGTGATTGGGGAACAGTTTTTCATTTCATAGGTAAGCAGGGTTTGGGTGTCTTAGAAACATGAAGTTAGTTAAGTGTTTTCTCAAGGTACTGAAAAATAAAAATAACAATAACAACAACAAAAAAGAAACATTAGTGTGACTGTTGGTGTCTTGAATTCCTTGGTGAATAAAGAACCACCACAAGGCATACAGTCATTTCCTGGTATTCCATAAACTAGACTGTAGGTTTCAGAAGGTGAGGGTGGTAGAGGAAACACAAGAGTTTGGAAGTAACTGCCATGTGTCTGTCTAATCCAGTAAATCCTTACAGACTTACCTGATATCAACACTGATCTTGGCCTTGGCCTTCCGTCTCTCAACATGCAAGTCATTCCTCTCCCAGGCCCACTGTGTGGCCCCTAAGCTAAAACCAAGCTCAAATGGAAATATGTTTAGTTGTTATAAAAAAGTAAAATGTGGGCAGTCTCCCAACAGAAATAATCAGCCCGCTTGCCCAGAGGGCAAGTGCTAATGTATCAGAGCAGAGGAATGAATGGGGAGGAAACAAGGCTGCCTCCCAAGCCTGGTCCCCAACGCCCTGTGCACGCAATAAACAAACAGCCATTTGAATTGCT